TTTAAAAATTTGAAATATTTGTTTTCCAGAAATGTTTTATCTCTTTAAAACAAAAAAGTAATGCAATTGCTTAATTTTGTATTGAATACTTTATTCACTTGTTCCAATTTTTTATTTGTTTATAGAGTTGTAAGTTATGACAACATCAATAAAAATGACTACTATACTATTAGCAAAAAGGCAATAACACACACTTATAATGACGATATGGAATTTATCAAAATCGATCGATGGGAGCAGGAATATCTGTATCACAGAGAACTCATTAAGATTCCCATATTTTCACTTTTCCGGAAATGGAAGGCTTTTAATGTGTGGAAGAAGAATGTGCGCTCTAAAAAAATCAATGGATGTCGAAAATCTCTACAAAAAAATTTGTTCATTGTTAATGATGTATGTATTTATTAATCATATTTTTAAATAATTAATTACAGAAAAGCAAAGTGTATATCTATTTCAAGTGTTGATATAGACTGTCCTTGAAATAGAATATTTCATCTTTTTAAGAGAATTTACTATTTTCATCCTGTCATTTAAGAGCCTGGCAGTCTAGTACATTTAACTAGGGTTAAAAAATGCAAAAGCATGAGTGTTGTAAGGTCCCCTTTGATTAGAAGCAGCCTCAGAAGTTTGGATTCATGACCTTCTTTTGTTTTTGATCAGAAAACTTGTATATCCTTTTGGGCAGAGTAGGCTGGTAGCTCCTATTAGTTCCTCTCATCTTTGAGACACTCTGGACTTTATAGTCCAAGATAATTTGGGGGCTTGTTTTCATGGACCAATACCTTCCAATGTTTCAGATGTTTTCCTTTACCATGGATTCAGATAGTAAGGAAAATTTTAATATTTACTTTGGAGGATGGGGTAATTATGGAAAAAGTAACTGTTACAGGGCATGTGGCCATATTTAAAACTCTATCCACTCACCAATTTCAACTTGCATTAGTTTTCTACTTGGCCCCTGACATGAACTAGAATCACATTAGTGTCATGCACAGTGTACTGAGTCCTCAAGCTACCTATTTGTATGACACTGAGTCACTACCTTTTGAAATCAGAATCCTCAAGTGTGCTTTTTACTGGTCATTTTCTTCACTTTGCATATGGTCATCTGAAAGATTGCTATCAAGATGTCAGTCATACAATAAAGGAACATTACAGGAATATGGCTAACAAAGATGATATTGCAAAACAAATATGTAAGCTGTGCCATCTCAGGTCATCCATTCCATTAAGCATTCCGAGTTGTGGAAAATATTTTAATCCTTCCTGATATTAAACTCAACCCCTAGACCTCTAATTTCATAAAAGACTCATCAATCATTTGAACCTGTTTTACTACCTTTTTACTACCTTTCATCCTTGACCCTGTCTTGGGCACTGTACATTTCATAAATTGTTATTAAGTATGTAAAATAGTTCTTCTTGCATTTGTCTCTAAAATTGCCTCTATCAAGCCTTAAGGCTTGTTCTCTTGTTTTGCGTACTGAGAATTGTCATTGTCTCTGTCCACCATTCATACCAATAGTGTCTTGGCCTTGGTAATATCTTCTTTTAAATGTAGCCCTAGCAGACAAAAAGTTCTCATCTTTTAAATCTTAGATTGACCTAAATAACAGACCCATTGTGTTTGGCTTAAATATCTATCAGATGTTATAATTACCCACACATTTACCACTAGCCTTATCATTGGTTAATGGGGGAGGGGGAGGAGAGGAATGATTCCCCTAGGCTAGGTTGAAGGGGAAGTTGGATATGTCTTTGAAATTTTTCTTTTTATGATTTTTTCAAGTAACCAGCCTCCTCGGCACCTGTGTCTGCATTTCCATATAATAACTTTATTGAAATATAATTCATGTATTACACAATTCACCCATTTGAAGTATACAATTTAATAGTTATACTATATTCACAGAATTGATCAATCATTATCACAGTAAATTTTACAACATTTCTATCACTGCAAAAAGAAACACCATTACCCGTTAGCAGTCATTCTCCATTTCTCCCTAACTCTCCCCCACACCCACCCCAGCTCTAGGCAACCACTAATCTACTTTTTGTCTCTATAATTTGCCTATTCTGTATATTTCATATAAATGAAACCATACAATGCGTGCTTCTATGTGACTGGCTTTTTTCACTTAGCATAATGTTTTCAAGATTCATCTATGTTGTAGCATAGCATTTCTTTTTGCTGGTCAATAATATTCCATTGTATGGATATACGTATTTTATTTCTTCATCCATTTATTG